GGCAGCCTATGTGTAATTCTTTAAATAATCCAAAGTTGTTGGTTTCACGATTTGTTTCCTCTTCTGATTCATAAGCAATTAGACTTATGCCCCCTGTGCATTAGCTTCTGGCCTGTGCCTTAGTTTTCTAAACAGACCCAGTGTTACGCCTGTAACAGGTATAAGATGCATTAACTCCCAAATTTCATTGAAAAACATTCAGATTTCTTTCTGCTGTAATCCATGCAATCCAATCATCCAACATGACCTGACAACAAATGAAAAGAAATAGAAAACAAACAAAAAAAATATTTGCACACACAAGGTACTGCGACTGCAAAACTACGGGCACAGCAAGCATGGATGGACTGGGAATCTGGGGCTGTTGGCTAGCCTCATTTATAACTCATACAGGTAAATCATCTCGTTATCTCGGGAAATCAGTAACTGTTTTCCTCTCGATAAGGAGATAATTATCTTGTTATGTGGAGAAAATAATTATTTGTTAAGCCGTGATAACAAGATAGTTATGTCGTTATCTCGAGAAGGCAAAGGAAAAAAAAAGTACGATAAGTTGAGTACGACTGCTCTCGGCTTCCGTACTAAAGTTCCTGTTTTTCAAGTATCTTTACTTACACTTATATATTTCACTCCTCTATATGTCACAGTCAAATATTGTAATTTCTACTCCACTACATTTCTAGGAAGCTAGTCGTTACAAGTTCCTTTTGGCTCAGCTTACTGTAGCTTTGTAATCTTCTGTTGTTGTTATTTTTATATATATATATTTTTTTTTTATGCATTTGGCCACACGATTGCTGAGTTGGAATTCAGTGGCTGCATCCCCCGAAGGCCAGATTCGTCGGATGATTACGTCACACCACAGCGCCGTAGCCCATTCAGATTGGTGGACTCCTTGTTATGAGGCTGCAAAATGCAGCCTCCTTTTTGCCCGTTTTGATGGAAGCGTCAGGTCTATCCTCTGTAGCCTTGGTATCCCGTGACTGATTGAGAGTCCAACGAGCTCCTGCTCAGAGGGAAAAGGGAACAGTGATGAATAGTTCTCTCTGAAATTAATGAAAATAGTTGCTTTAAATGGTTATTAAGTCAGATATGTGGCAGGTAATGTTTGGTTTATTGAAAGGTTTTATCTGTCCCTGTGTAAATGGGTTTGGCTGACATCTAAGCACACATTTGAATATCTTTACAGTGTGGGGACTATAAATCTGACATTTGTGATGATAGTACTGCTGCTGAAAATCGTTGAAAATGTTGTTAGCATACAGAACAGTAATGAGAAGTTAGGTATTCATTATTTGCCTGCTTCGTGTGTCAACTTTCATGGTTGCTTGGCGACAGAGTGTACAGGTGGTGAAAGCTAGAGAAGGCAGGACCTGTTTGAATCCATAGCCAAACTCTTCGGGCCTCCTTATTTTCATGAACCTCGAAAGACCCAGTCCAGGCAGAATGGGTCCTTGGAGGATACAGCTGAAGAAAACAAACACACCCTATTTTTCTCACAAAATTCTAAATTCATCCATTAGAACAGACATCTTGGATGTTTTTGTTATTTCTCTGTTTCAACACCAGTCTCAAATAGTACCTCATTAGCAGGCATATATAGAACTTTGACGAGCTGAGCAGGTAGTAAGTACCTCCAGGGAGAAGAGCCAAAACATGTAAGATAACAGCCCTTAGGACTGAATTTGGATGACTTTGGATGAATTTGGATAGACGTAAACCAAAAACCAATGAAACGTATAATAAGTTATCACACCAGTATATGTATATGAATATCAACACCAAAAAACAACATTATAAAAACACTTCATAAAAACAACATCATTTCAAGTCCAGGTTTACTTTTTGTACATAAATGTTTGCCTTCTGAGGCTTTGTGAAGGCAAATCTCTGTTTTGTATGGTCCAATATGCTATCACAAACCTAAAAACAATTAGCATTTAATTTTGACTAGGGTAATACTGTCTCGTAGATGTCCTCCTTCTGTCTGCTCCTTTCTATGCACTTCTGGAAGGCTTTTAATGTCCTGCAGCGCTGCACCACTACAGCACTTTTAATTGTATCTGTATGTGTTATGTATTGTTTTATGGCTTTGTATTAAAGCACTTTGGGAACCATTTGACTATTGTAAAGGTCTATACAAATAAACTTGATTGATTGATTATTTTTTGTGGACTTTTTATAATGAAGTTCTTCACACATGGTATATTTTGTAGCAGACAGGTTCTACGGGCCTGTACATGACATAGTTTCTCAAAGTTACAAGGATCTTTTAAATTACTCTGAAAATAATACAGAAATGTACTGAAAATTTGACTTGTACTTTTGAATACTAATGGTATTTTTAAAAGAGACTGCTTCAGTACTTTATCTTGAGTAGATTTTTTTGACCGAACAACTTTTACTTGTAGAGTAAGATTAGACAATCAGTATCAATACTTTTACTCAAGTACTACAGCTGAGTACTTCGTCCTCTGCTGTTAAATATATAGATGAGAAAGAAGCTACTTATTGTAATTACTGTTGGAAAACATTCAATTCACATTGTTGTTTTTGTTGAAAATGTATTTGTTTTATAGAAAGTAAAAATAAAGAAGCAGAGATGGATAATCTATGGCCAGATAGTAAAAACTCTGTACAGGGATTAGTTCCAAGTATTTGCATATCCAGCTCTACAACACAGACTGGGAGCTAATCACCTTGTTATGTAAACAGGATGAAAGAAACAAAGCATGTACAGATAAAAATCATGTAAGGTCACCAGTCTAAAAAAAGCATAAAACAAATTGTTAAAAAAAAAAAAAAAAGCTAAAACTATTCCTCTGTAGAGATGTGAAAGCTAATAAGGTCTGCAGACCACAACTTGTTCGGATTATTACTGCCAAATTAAGCAACCTATTAAAACTTGGAGTATGTTGAGTGTTTTCATATAACACTTTTATTCTATACTTTTTTAAAATAAAATGTCAGAGTAGACTAAATCATAAAAATATATATATATCTGCATTTCATTTTCCAGATACATAAAACCAGAGAATCAATAGTCTGCTTTCTTTTACCATATTGTAAAGCACTGCAGCATTTTCCTTAAGGTTTCCCTCTTTCTATCCTTTTACTTGTTTGGACAAATTGAAATTACTTTGCTGTGTGTTCCTCCAGGAAATCCTCCCATTAATTATGTTGTCTGCCAGCATTGAGTAACAACCAAATGCAGGAATACTAATCAGGCACTAAATCACTGAATGTCTGGACACCAGATAAGCTGCTGTCGGCTGTCCCTCATCTCTTTTTGGGACTCCAAATACATCTTGGGTCTTTGATATTCCTGTTTTTTTTTTTTTTTTTTTTTCAAATTAGTTACCTAAAACCAGAGGCAAAATTTCCTCTTGTAAACAAACTTATTCATCAATTCAAACAGAAAACATTGATGGATGTTGCACTCTAAAGTTCCTTTGGTTAAACTTTAAGATGATATTTAACTTTTCAGACTCACCAGTGTCCTCTGCAAAGTACAAGATAACTTTTCATGTCAGTTTCTGATTCAGCTCCTAATTTGATGTAATTGCATCAGTTCCAAAACCCCTTTTGTTTGTACAAATGTATTTGCCTGAAGAGTTATTTATGGCCTTATTTATCACAGAGTTATTGGCTCGTGTGACTCATCTCTCTTCTTCCCAGCTTCCAGGAAGTTCAGAAGCACATGCCTTGTTTAGAGGTCTGATGGAAGGTCATTGGTTGGTTTTAGCCTTGAAACTGTTTGGGTCCAAAATAAAACAAACAGTGGTCTGTTTATATAACGTTTAACTTACCAAGGGAAAAAAATAGATGCTTATCTAATTAAGCTACATTACAAAACAGAATAGAAAAGATAAATTACAAAATATGAAAAAGAAAAATACTCAAAAAGTTAAAAATATACTCTACAGCAAAAAATGCCACTGAAATTGTCAAAATTTGATGAAAGTCGTGCCATTAAATTTGAATAGTGGTTCAACAGAAATATCAATAATAAACAATCAAATAAACAAAAAAGGTAAAGCAGCATGATGGAGCTCCTAAACTAAAATGTTGCGGGAATCACTGCAATCAGGTGTTTTCTTAAATGTTCAGTCAGATTTCTACTCCTGTTGATGGTTTGTTGGTGAAATATTCAGGAACAAGCTGCTCTAATGTGTCTCATTGTCATTTGTAAAACCACAATTAAAAATCAATATTTCAATCCATCAAATCATAATTTCATGCAGTTTAATATATTTGAATCATTTGCAGGGTTTCCACAGGTTACTTATTAAAATATTATATTTAAATGAAGGCCTTATACTTGGCATTGAAATGTATTAAATGTGATTATCTTGGGATTTACGTTTTTAAAAACAATTCCATCAGGTATATTATATCAGATATAACTGGTTCCATGTGTTTTGTGCGGAACTGCTTCTTTTCTGCGGAACTTGCAGCTTGATGCGGAGTAGATCTATCTATCTATCTATCTATCTATCTATCTATCTATCTATCTATCTATCTATCTATCTATCTATCTATCTATCTATCTATCTATCTATCTNATCTATCTATCTATCTATCTATCTATCTATCTATCTATCTATCTATCTATCTATCTATCTATCTATCTATCTATCTATCTACTTATCTGTATGTTACTCATTCCTGTATAAACCCTGTAGACCATTTCATGCTTTTCTGGGCCCCCTTCTGGCCCCCTGGTACATTTTTGTCTAGAACCGCCACTGCAACAGGGAATCGGGACTTTTCTCTGGTAAACAAGCTTTATTAATCCAGGCTTTAGTTGTCCAATTCTACGGGTTAAGAAACCAAAGTGAGGATGAGCCGATAGCTGCAGGAGGAGTGAGCAGCCAATCCGCTGCTTTCCTGCCTTGTTGCGTCTGGATTTGGTTGGAGTCTCTTCTCTGCGCGCAGCTGCGCTCTCATCCATCTCCGCTCCGCACCTGTATTAGTGGATAGAAATACACAACATGTCACTCATACAAGGCGATGCTTAGTGACTCATTTCATTCTTTCTGATTAGTGCCGGATTTTTCTTTTCTTTACAGTTATCAGTCGAAACCAAGCAGGTTTCTTTTTTAATCTCTCTTTTTCTTTTATTTTTCTTTTTTTACTGATGAGAGTTTGGGCAGAAAGTGCAACTCGAATAAACGCAATCTGCTCCGCTGCTGGACCCTAAGACACAAACCTAACAGATTGTGTGACTCTATTTTTAGCACGGAAGATGAGCGCTGCGCACTGTCATAATAACGGAATGATCCAACATTAACTCCATTTCAGAGGATCGATCTCCGCAGCGGACTAAGGGCTCTTAAAGCGGATAAACTGGATCCCACTGCGAACATTGACTCCAGGATTTGACTGTTAACCTTCAGGCATTTAACGCTCCCAGAGGTAAGTTAAAGAAACCAGATAATAAATATCTAACTGATAGGAACTGAATGAGGATGCGCTTATGCGCATCGGGCTGGAGAAAAGGCTTTTAATGGAACCTCTGCACCTGTTGTTAGGATCAGTCAAACAGGCAAATAAACAAATAACCTCAGAAATATTTAGCCTTTATTGTTTCTATTACTATTTTAAATATCTGTGTTTTTATGTTAAGATCCCTATTTAAAGTGCATTTTCCAAGATATCCTTATGACAAAGTTATTGCAGAATTATTAGTTTTGATTATTCTTGGTTTTTCTGTGATCCTTTGCTCACTGAGTGAATGAATGAGCGGATAAATGTTAAACCCAGTGGTGGTGCTTGCATGAATGCTGCTGTGGACTACCCCCTCTCTCAGCCCCCATCCTATTTTTATATATATATAAAAAAAACTGCATAGGTAACTTCACAACTCATGAAATGCATAATTTTGGGGATTAAGAGATGACAACACAAAATGTTTTATCTATTTTATTTATCCCTTTCATAGAAAAGAAGAGAAAAAAATCACAAATTGAATTTTTTTAATAGAATCAACTTTTGAATGTACATTCATTTAGTCCAACTCTGACTATTGTGTAAATAGATTCCAGTTTCCTTTTAAAAGAGTAGCTGAGTTTCTATAATTAGTTGTATAATACTTTTTTTTCTCCAGAATTCCCAAAAAGGAATAAAGGCTATAGAATTTTGTTTTCAACAAATGCTGTTATAGGCAGAACAGTCTTGTTCAAGTACTTCCAGTCCAAGTACTTTACTCTTTAAGGTAAGTGCATCAAATTTTATTGAGATTCACTTAAAGGAAAAGTCTGGTCTGCAAGGAATAATCAGTGGATCATTATCTATACCTATAACTAATGTTTGCAGTGATTTAATGAATTTAGCGTTAATCCATAAAAAAAAAAAAAAAAGTAAATTTTGACAAGACCACTGAGTCTGGGAGCGGCCATTTTTGCCCAAATATAGCAACACCTCACTCCTGACATCTTCTGGCAGTGACGTCACGGCGCGGTAAGCCTAGCGGCATTCTTCCCGCTTTACAAGCAAAGTCGATGGGAACTACCAGACAAATCTGCAATCAACAGAAATTATTTAAGATTTCCAGAGGACTTCACCATTGAAATTTGTGAGAACTATAGTTAAACTGACAATGCCCACGTGCATGGCAGTTGGATGTCGTAATTCATCGGGTAAAAGTGAAAAAAGAAATTGTTTTTTTCACCTTTCCGATTCATGATCCTCCATGGACGGGTTCGTCGTTGGATTGCTAACTTGAAGAGGGAGGATTTGCCATCGAAACTTCTGGCCAGAGAAAAAACACGTCATATGTAGCCAACATTTCGAAGAACAAAGTTTTCAAGATGACTTGGATAATTGTGACAAACACCAGATACAGCACTGGGACTTGCTCAACAGCCGATACCGCACCGTGACGTCACAAACCGGCAGGTGGCAGTAGTGTTCTTTAACAAACAAGGATGTCTTCAGTAAAGCACATTCAAATGAAATTTACTCTTAAGTTAAAACACTTAGCATTTATTGAACAGTACGTAACAATTTTATATTTAAAGTACTTTCAGAAGTTTGAATTCTGAATATGACCGGACTTTCCTTTAAAAACTGTGAAACTGACCTTTACTTTAGTGCCGACTTCCCAGTGATGAGTCAAAAAAATAATCATGAGCAACAAAAAATGTACTAATTAAAAATGTATTTCTAAATAAGCTGCCTTCCCTGAAATGATGACACCATGGGCAGCGAGCCACAATGACCATATCATACAGAGACGATGCTGAAGCAATATTTAAGTAACATGAAGCCTGAGCAGAATGTGCTGTAATCAGAATATTATAATCAGCGTCTGTTGTGATGGGAAAAGCAGGCTGGATGTGATTACAGCAGCTAACAGTGTGAATGTGTGCGTATGAGTGGGTTGTGGGCTGATGTGGTGCTGTCAGAGGGCCAAAGCGGAACTGTAGACCCCATGCTGAGCAACATACCCCCCCCACCCACTATCACCTGCATCAGCATCCAGGGCGCGCTCTTGCCCCACATGGTGGCGCGCTGTGATGTTCACAGCATCCCTGTATTGACCTGCAGAGCGCACTATAAGAGCACAATACACCAATGCACTGACTGACTGTGCAAATGATCAAGTATTTTTCCCTCTTTCATCTGATTTGTATTTTCTGTATCCTTCCCCTTCCTTTGCCGTCATCTTCATTAGCTTTTGCATGCTGTGTACTCTGTCCTGATTTATTTTCTTTCTCTTAATAACTTCTACTACAAGTATTTCAGCTTAGGCATATGCAGAGCTGTCATTGGGGTTCATTAGTGAGCCCTTCTCTCAGTTTCCCCATGTGGAGGAATGTTTGCTTCGGAGAGTGAGTGGGAGAGGAGAAAAGGGCGGGGGGATGACGGGAGGGGGAGAGAAGGAGGAGTGGAGTGTGAGATTAGCCGCCGTACCTGCTGCTGCTGCCGCTGCTCAGACATTAACAGCATCTTTCTGGGAACTGATGCTGCTGCTGTGGGACGAAGCTGAACTGTGGAGGCAGCCAGGCTCACCGCGCTGCTGGAGGCACCCCTGCATCTAATCCTCAGATGGAGGAGGAGGTCACAGAGCCCGATCCTCAGACAGGCATGTCACAGTCGGAGGTAAACGGGGACCTGCCAGGCAACCCCTACCTGAGGGATGGGACACTGGACATCGTGGAGAGTCCAGCCAGGGAGCCAGTTGCGCTGCAGTATCCCTCAGAGTACAGTCCCAGCCACCAGTGTGGGTAAGAAAACAAAGAGTCTATTGCTGCAGGAATCAGCTGGCCATCTGTGCAGGGAGGTGGCACTTTATTTTTGTGAGAGGTGGATATTATTTAACAATAGACTGTTCTGTGACAATACTCTTTTAATCAAAGACGAAGGCACAACTTTGTTGCAAAAGGACGTGTGTGTACTGCATGACAGGGTATTTAGTAATGCTTGATTGGTGAACTGGTGAGGTTTTAAATGTATTTTCTGCAGTTTTAAAAATATTTAAAACAAACTGTACTTAGACTGAGTTACATGATTTAAGAGATGTTTTTCAGATTAAGATAAGCTGCTGATTACTACCAAGTTAGGGGTTCAGAGGTTCAAACTTGCAGAGAAACTTATTAGAGTAGAAGAACACTTTTTTGCATTGGAGATAAGCAGTTTTCTTTTGTAACCAGAGCAGAATTTAACTAATTGTTTATAGAATTCCAGATATTTGTTCCTTAACATATGAATTCATCCTGAACATATTTTTTGACCTATCTAAAGTTGATTTTTGTGGTTGAAGGGCTCTCTCCTGGTACAATGTGTCCCGGTCACACTCGATCCATTGCTATTGGCTGCTGTGCTGCAGGGTCTGATGTAAGAAATTGCCATCTGGCCTCCCTGTCATGTAGAAAGCTGTGAATAAAGCTGCACTCTTTTCATCTTTTCATCAGGCCACACTCTCCTAAAGCGTCCACCCTCAGAACTTAAAACCCACTGGTTTAGCTCCTTGTTCTGGACGATTACTCATTTCCCCAGAAGACTGGAATTTAAAACGAACCAATGAGATTTTATGTCACTGAGATTTCGTAGGTCTGTTGTTTATTTTGAACGATCAACTTTGATTAAGCTCCTCTGGTTTTTCTTTCCATAGTAAAACATGCATAAAATATGCTGTCTGTGGTGATAAAGGGAGCTTTTACACTCTTGAGGATTTGCCTAGTGGGTGAAACATTAGTCCAATCAATAAACTGTGAACTGGAACGAGAGTGAGGTGTCGCTTTTCCTTTGGTTTTAGGCTGGAAGTTGTTAAAAGACCTTAACAGCAGAAGTATGTAATTCAGTCTGATCCCTTATTTCAGCTGGAGCAGAAACAGAGAAATGTGGTTGTTTTTCTTTGTTTTGGTTTTTATTTTTTATTGGAAAGATATCATTCCAGTTTTCTACACAAACACATATGAATAAAGCAATGATTTTCAGTCCGATGCTTTAGTTCTGGAATGTTTTTTTCATTGACTTACTCAGAAATTCAAAGGTCAGTTTATATTAAATTTCCAACAGGGATAGAAATAAGTTATGACTTTGAGCCTTGAGCTTTTTCAGCCATAGTAAATGTTTTCAGTCTTTACTCATCTTGAAAAACATAAGCAGTAAAATAAATGCAGTTCCACTGGTAGTTGATTCAAGAGTTTGGTTTGAATTAAGCTTGGTGGGACACTGTTAACAATATTGATCAGGCATCCAAGAACACAACTGGGTGCTATAAACTATGTGTGTAAAATTCTCTGCTTTGGAAAGTCCTGACCTCAATATTATAGAAAACCTTTTGCATGAGTTAGAGTGGATGCAATAATATCTAATCTATTTTCCCATCCAACTATGAGCACACCCCTAGTGTATTTAGTATTTAGAAAGTTTCTCTAGTGAGAAAAAAGGGTTCTATGAACAAATTGGACCTTTAAGATCACAATTAAATGGAGACAAACAAATACTTTGGCAATATAATTTTGCAAATAACATTTTACAAACCATCTCTATAAAAAAACATGAAAACCAGTGAAGATTTGAGAATGTTTCAGAGAGATACATCTCCCGCTTGATCATGTACTGAGTTCAGAATTTTCAGCTAATATTTATTTGGAAATAAATTAGTGGGTGCTTTTTTAAACTAATCACAATAAATGAAAACATAATTTCAATAAAAATTAAACACATTCTGTTTCATCTTATATATATAAGGCCTCTATTGATCTTGTATTGAGTGCCTGTTCTTGTGCTGCCATGATTAGTGCCTCTGTGCTGTCCTTCAGTCTAGCCTTTTCCAGCCATAGGTAGGATTTTTTGATATCAGCCACTTCTTCTATTTGTCTGTGGCAGACATGGGCAATGTGGAGTCAACAAGTCATCTCCATGTCATGTATTTAATCTACCCAGCAAATTAACCAGGTGAGTCC